GTGGGAGATTTTCACGGCACCCGGGGCTCCATCTTTCCGTCTCTCTCTCCACCTGGAGTCCTGAGCCACCAGCCTTGGAAGAAGCCCGGGGACAGCACAGCTGCCATGCTGGAGAGACCAGCCGGAGACAGGGGCAGCCTGCAGCTGCAGAGCTTGCCCATCTGGGCACCAGACCTGTGTGGGCGGAGCCCAGCCCCTGACATCAACTGCAAGGCAAGGGGGAACACACCCAGCACCAGAGCCGCCTTGCTGAGCCCAGTTAACCCATGGGCCTGCCACACCTAACACTCGAGGACAGTGTTGTTTCGAGCCAGTGGGTTTGGGGGTGATCTGCTCCACCGTGGTGGGTAACCAGACCAGAAGTCAAGCAGGACGGGCAGGTGCAGAAGCTCTAGGTGGGCACACAAGTGGGGAGGAGCAGGTGGATAATCTCTTCCAATTGTTGTGATGCTCTCAGGGAGACAGGAAGCCAGGGCATCAGCAAAACAGTGAGCAGCCAGCAGGAGGGACTGGGGGGGGGGCGAGGGAGAGGGGAAGGTGAGTCCTCTAGGTAGAGGAAGTCAGGTGTGATTACCTGGTGGCAGGGAAAAACCCTTTACCTTTCAGTATTTCATCTGCATTTCCCTCGCAGTCTTTATTATGTAATTTTGCATAGCCCCTGATCTGGCTGGATGAAAGGCCTACAGAAAAATTCTTCACAGAAGGAAACTGACCTCAAGGTGGGAATGTGTGAGGCCAGGGAACACTCACTGTTATACTCAGCTAAGAGAAGATCTGCTCCCTCCTTCACTCATCCACCCAATAGACTGTCTGAAAGGCCAGCATACTGGGCACCCCCTGCGGGCTGCAACATGCCAGTCTTCAGGGGACCACAGGTCAGTGCCCTCAGATGCTCCTCCCATTTATTTTCAAGAGGACAGAGCAGGAAAAAAAAAGACCACATTGCTTGAGTTGAAAAGGAAGTGTTGGAATATGCATTTCCAGTGGAGGGAGTCATTGAAGCCAAGCTACTAAAGCAAAGCAGACCATGGCGCAGTGGGGTTCCCCTATATGGATGGGCTGGGTTGAAGCAGTGATGGTGTGCTGGAGAATCATGAGACAGGGACCAGGAAGAGACAAGGAGTGGGGCACAATTGTGGGAAACCCCTGAATTCGGATTCAGTAACCTTTTGTCACGTTGCTATGACACTGAATTGTTGATAACTAGATAAGTGTTTTATGTATCACTCTAGGGGCTAACCGAGGTCTGTGAATAATGGAACTTAACAGATGTGATATAGTTTTATAGGTCAGACTCCACTGGGAATTCCCCTACTAGACTTACGATGACCAAATATCCCCTTTTTGCAAATTTTGAAATATTTCTAATTATATGCTAACCTCTGAAAAGTGTAATTATCATGGACATCAAAGTTTCATTATATAACAACCAGAAGATTGAGTACAAGGACATAACCCATTTACTTAAAAAATAAAGACACTTTTTATCATTTCCCTTCTCCCATTTTAGCCCAACAGACCTAGCTTTCAAAATAAGAGTTAAATGATATAAAGGAATCTTATATAAATTAGAAATTCAACAGCTACTTTGTATCATAACAGGCACCAAAGACCAGAAGATATTACATCTTTTTTGACCTCATACCCTACCCTCTTTTTTCCACAAAGAAAAACCTGTCAACTTGGCACACTTTTTCAGTAAAGAGCCAGTCAGTAAATATTTTGTTTTACAGGCCATACGGTCTGTATCACAGCTACTCAAATTTGCCACTGCCGTGCAAAAGCAGTTATAGACAATATATAAACATATATGCAAATACTAAAGCTAATTGTGGGCACAAAAATTTGAATTTAATATAACTCTTAAGGGTCACAAAACAGTATACTTCCTTTGACTTTTTCAATCATTTAAAGAGATTTAAAAAAAAAACTCTTAGCTTGTGGGCTATACAAAAACAGGTGGCAGGCTGGCTATGACCCACACCCATTATTTGCCATTGCAACCTAAACTTTGAGGGACTTCTGAGATATAAAAATGATCTATTCTTGGGGTGCAAAGACACTGGTTGGTTGGTTGATCTGTAATGAGTGCTTTTAATTTTAGTATGATTTTCCTTATTTTTAAATAATCAGTTTTGATTAGTTTAGTTAATGGACTGCTTATTATCTCTTTGTTTGGCCATGAAGGAGTATGCTATAATTAAGAGCAGAATAATGTTTTTATTTGTAAAATCGCTTAACGATGTTACATCTCGGCATGTTGCCTGTTACACTCATCTCCCCCTTCCTGTATCTATTTCAAATAGTGGGAAGCACTTCAATACTACCAGGTGCTTCATCCAGTAAAGATTTGATTTTAAGTTCTTATTCTGTCACCTAAACTCTCTCTGACATTAGTGAATCACTTTCCCTCATGAGCCTCTGATTTCTCAACTATAAAATGGTTTGAATACAGGGCTCTTTCGTGAAACTATTGAGAAAACTATTGAGAAAAACTATTTATTCATGCAAACTGTCATTCCAAATGAACCAACATTTAGCAAGCATCTAGTATGTGCATTTAAAACATCAGGAATAAACAATACTTCACTACTAGATTGCTTTTTCCATTTACCATTTTATCACGAGTACTTTGTCATTCAGTATTCTTTCAAAAAATGTGAGACTTCCCTGGCAGTCCAGTGGTTAAGACTCCATGCTCTCAATGCAGGGTCACAGGTTCAATTCCTGGTTGGGGCACTAAGATCCCATATGTCAACCAGCGCAGCCAAAAAGACAAAAATAAATAAATAAATAAATAAACAGATGATCTGATGGTTACATAACATGCTATTTAATGAGTGGACCACAATTAATGAACCCCTTCCCAACACTGGACATGAGATGTTCTCTTTGCTATGCTGCACAGACTACCTTCATAAATTGCTTGTGACATCCCTGATTTCTTTAAGAAGAGTTTCTAGAAGTGGAGTTTCCATATCAAAGGATCTGAACTATAACTATTAATAAGACCGAATAATTTCCCTATGCTTTTTGGCCTCTGGTTTTTTTAAAAACTGTTTTCATGTTTTTTCTTATAAAAGATATCCCAATTTTTTTCTTAAGGACTGCATTATCATACGTGAAGCCCACACTGACTGACCACGTCCTGAGTAGGAGTGTGTGCTGGGCTCGGTCTAGGTAGAACAGAGGAGTCTCTAGCACGGCTTCCAGGGTTGAGCTGCCCAGCCAAAACCAGAAGCTCCTAGGCTCTTGAAGCCCCGGCTCCCTCATCTATGACTCACAAGGCTGCTTAGAGGGTGGAATCGAAACAGAGACGTCCAGCCCTAAGCACGATGCTCACTGTAGTAAGCAGTCAATAAATGTGAGCGCTCTTTACTACCATCAATCCTATCACGCCATCCCTCAAGGGGCACAGGCAGATGTGGGCCTGGGTTTGCCTAAAAACAGACATCTGAGTTTCTAGGAAATGAAACTCTACACTGTTGCTTCTCTGTCACACAGCATCCTGTGGTTAACTCTTCATTAGACCTCAGACATGAAATGAGCCCAGGAGCCCACCTTCCAATCTAGAAGTCAGAGTGGGTTCCTGGTGCAAGTACTCCGTTGTGTCTAGTTAGGGTGACAAAATAATTTCAGCAAGAAGTCACTGGTGTCTTTTTCTGATGAATTTTGCGGCATGCCTAATAACTCACACCACATGCAAAGGATCTGAACACACATTCTGTTATTTGAGCCTCCACAATGGCCCAGCAAGGCAACTGGAGAGCCATAGTAATGGTCATTTTATAGTACAAAAAAAAAAAAGCTGAGTTTCAGGGGGCTTAAGTGATAAACCTAAGGATCCCCCACTAGTAACTGGGAGAACGAACACGGACAGAGTCTCTCCTTGACTAAACTTTAGTCAAGCTCCTCTGACTCAGCCTTGATATTTGGGCTTTTGTGTCCACATGGCCAGTTTTCGCAAGGATCCTGTTAGGTTGGTTTAGGAAGAGCCCCTCACCACAGTTTCATTATCCTTGCTATCTGATCAAATACCCCATCTCTACCACCCCCCAGGGGACAGTCCATCTGCCTGGCCTGCTTTCAGCAAGAACCCTGTAAGGTGGGTCGAGTCAGAACTACCCCACGCCCTGCCACCCCTGATGCTTCCTCTTAGTAATTTTCCACCCGCTGATCCCCACTCTGCTCCTGGACTATAAATCCCCACATGCCTCCACACTATTTGGAACTGATCCCAGTCCTATACTGCAGTCTCATTTCCCCGATTGCAACAGTTCCTGAACAAAATCTGTTTTTACAGCTTTATCTACTATCCGGTTCTGGTTTTCTTGGACTGCATGGGAGCCCAGGCTCCCTGTATTCCTAGTCCTTTGCATCCTGCCCCCTCCCTCCCCTGCATGCTCGTTTAGACACCACCAAATGCTAGAAAAACACAAAGGAACCTCAGTAATTTGTATGGTCATAAAGCCCCAAACGAGGGCTTCCCTGGTGGCTCAGATGATAAAGAATCTGCCTGCAATGCAGGAGACCCGGGTTCAATCCCTGGGTCAGGAAGATCCCCTGGAGAAGGGCATGGCAACCCACTCTAGTACTCTTGCCTGAAGAATTCCACGGACGGAGGAGCCTGGCAGGCTACAGTCCATGGGACCACAAAGAGTTGGACATGACTGTACCACTAACTTTCAAAGCCAAAAACATAGGGTGAAAAAAGTTAAGACCCATAGAAGCTATTTCCCTAATTCAAACATTTGTTCCTCCTCAGGGCAGGATGCATTAATTCTTATAGGAAGGAGAACACAGCAAGTATCGATTCATCTTAACTAACTGAAATTACACAATACCCCTATGATTAATCTTGGTTATGAAAGATCATGAAAGTTTTCCTCAGTAAATAACTGAAGTACAGACAACTTAAACATCTCTCTTGCTAGCCGGTTTCAGTTCTTCCACAAAAAATGACAGATAACACTTTTTAGGGATCTCTTAGCTGTCCTTACCATTTTTAGTCTTCTTCCAAAATGAAACAGAGAAGTCTGGTTGAAGAGAGCAGAACATGAGAGGTGTCAACATCAGCCTGAGATGGACCCAGTAGCATCAACTAAGATAAAGAGAAAACACCAAACTTTACCTTGCAAAGACAGCAACGGATTGAAGCTTCAAAACGCGCTGGAGAGGCTGCTTTAATATATGCTGTTGAAAACACCTATTAATAGTTATTTACTTCCTCAAAATTATATAGACGAGAGACACACTCCAGAAAACCATTTCCAGCATTGTTGTAAAAGTCTGACTTTATCTTCAAAGAAGTGACATTTGAGACTACCAAAACTCTTCTTTAGATTCTAAAAAAAATTTTTTTTGCATATGATTTGGGTTCCCTCCCCTCTCTCCCCTTCCCTCTGAGAATGGCTCACAGATCTAGGTACTTAAATGATCTGAGTTTTTCCCAATGTTTAAAATACCTTTCTTTGCTGCATGGAGTGAGTCCAGGTCTGGAGTCTTCTGAGGTGAAGAGATGGGTTGTGGCAAACCTACCTAAGTCACAGAGACTCCAGGCTGCCAGTTGTGAACTTTCCAAGTGCAAAGACTGGTTAGGGGGAGGAGCATGACTATTTAAGCCATCTCAGACATGAAGTTTGCAGAAGCAGCAGGTTCCTTCTATTTCTACCACCACAATCAGGGCAACCTCATGTCTAAATTCAAGCAACTTGGCTGACTAATGGTTTTTCTAGATATTTCTCAACTGGCACACTCCTGCCATTTCTGGTGAGATACATCTTTGTGGCATTGTAAGACGCTGACAGCAACCCTGACCTGAACCTACGAGATGCCAGCCGCACTGCCCCTCGACAATCACAGATGTCTCTAGACATTGTGACATAGCCCCCGCCCCTGACTGAGAACCATCATTCTGCAGTTATCTTTGAGACATGTCTACATTTCCCTTGTCCTCTCTTTGGCTCAGCTGCAAGGGGCTCTGGTTTCTAAGCAGGGGTAGACTTGGTTCTCTCACTTGGGTGAAACGAGGGCAGCTACACTCGCAGTCCAGGGTCAGGTACAACCTGTTTCTCAAAGCAGGGTTTCTAGGAGACTCATTCCCTTCTGAAGTGATTACTGGGCCTTTTAGGGGGTAGAATCAAAATGTCAGTGGTTATGTTTAAAGGTCTTTAGTCCACCTAGTCGATCCAGAGAGAATTTGAAAATTGCCAAGTGTGCCACAGGAAAATCAGTTGATAACCATCAGTGTTACCTACTGGATTGAAAAGCAAGCAGTGCCCTAGATCAGCTGAAAAACTACTAGATACAATAATAAATGATCTTACTGGGAGTTTATTTTGAACCAGACTGTTCTAACTGCCTAATATGTATTATTTCATTGACTACTAAAAAGAATGAACTAAATATCTTCTTAGCCTTTAAAAAAAATTTTTTTTTTTTTTACAAATAATGGAATTAATGCAGAAAAGATACTGGACTCTTCTCAGGTCACATACCATGTAAATGATATTCATACCAGCAAAAATTAAATGCCTTCTTATCAAACCACTTTGCCATGCAAATAATACATAAAAATCAATAGCTTTCTCACATATTTTGTTGTTTGGTTGCTAAGACGTGTCTGACTCTTTATGACTCCATGGACTATAGCCCGCCAGGCTCCTCTGTCCATGGGATTTCCCAGGCAAGAATACTGGAGTGGGTTGCCATTTCCTTCTCCAAATAAATATTTCCTTCTCACATATAAACAGTAACTAATCCAGATGCCTAATAGGAGAACTTCCATGTAAAAGAGCATCAAAACATATGAAATATTTGGGAAGAAAATTGACATGAAATGCTTAGGAATTAAGAAGGTGGTAGATGGGCAGGGGACCTTGCAGGCTGCTTCCTATCCATTTGCCCCTCCGAATCCACTCTCCATGCCTTCCTACCCAGCTGGGTGTCTGGGAAGGCTGAGTTGTATGAACTTCATCATTAGCTGGCACACTTCTGGCTGAGTTTGGCCAATGCGGAGAGAGGTCAGAGTATCCCTGGGCTCCCTTCCTCTCTGAGGCTGTGGGTTGGCTGCAACCCTCCAACGAGGCTCTCATCAGGTGATGTTCCAGGGCCACTCTTTGTGAATTCCACTGTTTCCTCACCTTGCCATTTTAGGCCTGGGGTTGTAAAGACTCAACCCTTGAAATGCTGAACCCCTGTTTCTGATTTCCCTATATTCTGTGCACACTATCAAGAATAGTGACTTTTCCCAATTCATCAATTTCTTATTCTGAGTGTGCCATGTTTTTTTCTTGTCAGGACCCTGGAAGACACAGAGAAGATGTAAAAAGATCAAGAGAAATAGATTGTTATTAGGGCGAGAGGTCACAGCGAGGCATTTTTGGTTTATCACAAAGATTAGGGTTATGCTATCCATAAATATCATCTCCTCTGGATAGTAAAGGGTACATGACCAGATAGCTCTTATAAAAATGAGCCACTGGATCTGACTGAGTTAAGATCCCCAGTGAGAACAGCCAGAATGAAAAAGTAACAAGGGGAGGATGTTTTTTCCTGATCTCTAAATGCTTCATAATACTGCACTGCCTACAATGGCATAGTGCCAGCACATCAGTGAAAGGGATGAGACAGCAAAGTTTAGTAAAAGCATATATGGGGGGGGGGACCTCACTTGTGGTCCAAATGTAAAGAATCCACCTTCCAATGCCGGGGACATGGGTTCAATCCCTGATCGGGGAACTAAGATCCCACACGCCACAGGACATCTAAGCCCATGCACCAGAACAAAATATCCCGCATGCTGGAGCTAAGACCCCATGCGGCCAAATAGATAAATAAAAAAAATTTTTAAAGCACATCTGGGGCATTAAAGTCACATCAATGGCAAAAGGAAATATTAAGATAACATTGGGCAACTGGCTTAAAGTTTGGAAAAAAGTTAAGTGGCAGTCTTACCTTGTATCTTACGTCAAAATTAATTTCATATGGCTCAAAAATTTAAATGTTAAGACCCTAATGCTGGGAAAGATTGAGGGCAGGAGGAGAAAGGGATGACAGAGGACGAGACGGTTGGATGGCATCACCGACTTAATGGACACGAGTTTGAGCAAACTCTGAGAGTTGGTGATGGACAGGGAAGCCTGACGTGCTGCAGTCCATGGGTTTGCAAAGGTCGGACATGACTAAGTGACTAAACAAGACACTGAATATTAAAAATACTGGAAGAAACCACAGATAAATGTTTACATAATCTTGACATGGTAAAGCCATTCTAAGCATGACAATAAGAACAAACAAAAACTCAACAGCAACAACACCAGAGTCTGAAAGAAAACATCAAAAAATTTAGCTACAAAAAATGTATCTGCTTACTCATCTATAAAGTGAGGGACGAGGCCACATGATCAGTAAGGGCACACGTTCAGGTTTTATACTCTAAGATCTTGAGAGATGATGATACAATTCTGTGTTCTTGTATTGTTATTCATCTTTGATCCTATCTGCTAGGTCCCTAATGATACTGCAGACCCCTCGAGTCAAGAATGTGTTGTCCCCAGCATCTCGTCCATAGTTGGTACTTACAAATCATTTTCATGATGATAAAATGAAAGTGATCATGAAAACCCGCATAATTCGATCACGTAAGTCAATTTTGAGAGGAGTCGGGCTGGCCCCCATGAGCTACCCGCATCTGGGTGACATTGTGGGCCTAGGCTCCCGCAGGTTAGCTAGCTCAAGAGAAATGACTGGATGATGAGGATGTGCTGTGCATGCTAAGTCACTCCAGTCGTGTCTGATTCTTTGTGGATGAAGAGGATAGAGTGCTTCTATTTATCTTGCAAGAACAGGCCTCTAGTTGGCTGGGATACCTCTTGGTTTTCTAAGTCTCAACACATTTGTTTTTTCCTTTTGGATGCTCAGTTGTGTCTGACTCTTTTTGACCCCATGCCCACCAGGCTCCTCTGTTCACAGGATTTCCCAGGCAAGAATACTGGAGTGGGCTGCCATTTCCTCCTCCAAGGGATTTTCCCTACCCAGGGACTGAACCCACATCTCTTGCATCTCCTACATTGGCAGGTGGATTCTTTACCACTGCATCACCTGGGAAGCCCCTTTCATATCTGAAAGGAAAAAATCCACTTTTCCCTTTCAGATGGAAATAAAAGAAGATGGAACTGCCCTTGGTGGGTAATTAAAGTTTAGGGTAAAGTGAAAGTGAAAATTGTTCAGTTGTGTCCGACTCTTTGTGACCCATGGACTATACAGTCCATGGAATTCTCCAGGCCAGAACACTGGAGTGGGTAGCCTTTCCCTTCTCCAGGGTATCTTCCCAACCCAGGGATCGATCCCAGGTCTCCCACATTGCAGGCAGATTCTTTACCAGCTGAGCCACAAAAGGTTGGTAAATGTAGCAAACTGGAACATGTGATATTAAAAGAGCATTTGTTGTTTGTCTGAAGTTCAACTTTAATTGGGTATCCTGTATCATACCTGGGAGTCTAAGCTTTGTGTCATACTTTCATCTAGAGAATTAAACATTGAAGATTAAGTTTCTGAAATGAAAAGGCAGGCCAGACTTCTGCAGCATCCAGAGTGCTCAGTGAACAGGTATACAACTGGGGACAGAAACCCAAGGTTTGAGCCCCAGCGCTGCCATTTGATGGACGAAGACATCAAATGGGTTGGGTGGAAACTAACAACATACATACTTTCCTAAAGCTGATGAGAACCTAAATAAATGCCTTAAATCAATTGCACTAGTCCACCTAAGGCTGTGTTCCCAGCATGGAGAAGTAGGACGTCTTAACATTTCTTTATTTGGGCGAGGATGGGAGTGATAGACCCCAGCGCTTCCCCAGTTTCTGTTGCCTGTTTCCACTCTTGCATACTTAAAGTCAGGGCTCGCTTGAGGAAAAGGAGAAAGAACTTTAACGACAAGCATCAGAGTATTTTTATAACAAGGCTGAAATTTTAACCCTTTCAGTTAGATACAGCCATGAAT